AGTCTACCAGCACCCCGAGGTCCCTTTCACAAGTGCTGCTCTCCAGCCACTTGTCCCCTGACCTGTACTTATGACACCCATTCCTATGCCCCAAGTGCAAGACCTTGCGCTTATCCACACTGAACGCCATCCTGTTGTCTCCTGCCAGAGCACAGACGGGAGCCTGAGTTGTCCCAGTCCAATTCCTGTACTTTAGCCATGTGTCTCATTTATTTGCCCTTGAAAGAAAGTTTTCAAATAACGGCAGAAATCGCGGTCTGGGTAACCGTTAGACCATCAGAGGGATTTGGCTCGCTGGGAAACGTTCGCCCTCTGCAGTCCTGGGTGTTGCTACTTCTGCTGCCGAGGTGCTGCTTGTCTGCAGGCAGCTGGAAAGAGTTTTCCGTTGGCGCTTGATGAGCACTTTGCCTGCCTGATGGCCGTGACCGTTCTGGGGGGGCCACACCGAAGCAGGTCCTGGCCAGCCAAGGTCCCAAAAGCTGCCTTGTTGCATCTTTCATGCTTGGCACAAGCAGAGTTGCTGATAAATTGCTTCTTGACGAGCCAAAGTTTTGTCCGAGTGATCTGCACAATGGTGCCAGAAGAGCAGGAAAGTGGCCCCGAAAGGTAGATGCTGCCAAGAAGGGCAAAAACCAGCCCAGGGCCGCACTTTCTAATTTGACCCAAGAGTGAGCAAAGGCTTATGCTCAAAATGGTTCTGTTGAGCGCAGCCCTTGCGAGAATTACAGGGAGATGCGACTAGCAAAATGTTAGATGCTCTCTCCGTGGCATTTGACTTCTTCTTCCCTTTCAGTTTATCTGGGAACAATCTTGGAGATGAGACCCTGGGAAAACTGGCTACAATTCTGCCTTCTTTGCAACGCTTGAAAGTCCTTCGGTAAGTATCCAGGCACAATTTCTTCCCGTGTTACCTCCACGCACGTCCTCCTGTGAGTTCATTCTGCCTTAAGATATTTCTTTTAAAAATCCATATGAAAATTTGCATTTCAATGGCCATTTCTAAAGGTTTCTTCACTCAAAATGCAGATTTCTGAAAGCATTTGCTCCTTTCCTTTGTGAACTGAGAATGATGCTGGAACTTTCAGGAAGAGCAGTTGATAATTAAGTTCTAATCCAGACACTGCTTTGATGAAATCAGAGTGTATCAGAGTTGAGACATGCCATACCAAATTTTGCCAGTTCCTCCCTATCGTCTCCATCGTGAGGCATCTGGAAACCGTTTTTGGTTCCCTGCAGTTTTGCCCAGCTTGCTGCCTCCAAGTTTCTACAGCCTCCATCATTCCTCAGTCACTGGCCATGCTGGCAGAGGGATGAACTACAATTCCCATCACCCCCTCGTTGGTCACGTTGGTTGAGGGATGGTGCGAGCTGTAGTTGAACCCATCCAGAGCATCCTTGGTCGTGGAAGGCCAGGTGTGATCATCAGTTGCCGACTGCCCTTTTCCACACGCGAATTGTTCATCACGGATCGGAGAGAGACTAACAGGCCTTTCAGAAGCAGACAGTGGTTCTCTCCAGTGCAACACGTTTCGGTGGGGATTCGAAAGCTGTGTGCCAGGCTGAGTGCGCTGTTGTGACTTGTCCAAGCTGTGGGTCAGCATGCAGTTGGACTCTGTGTGGGCAGCCCAAAGCCCAACGGGCCGGAAGGAGAAGAAGTGGCCGAAGGTGGGCTGTAGAGCTTCTGAAGGCAGCTGAGAGGGTCCTCAGGTTCCCAGTGAGCCAAGACAACTCAGGGGAACAAGCTGCTGAGACGGGGGGGCCACGCCTGGGCAACAGATATTGTGCTTGCGCTCTGTTGGTCCCTTGGACTGCCTGCCTGCCTGATGTATGCTGCTGAACTTCAATACCTTCTCAGGTGGATACAGGTGGAGCTTCAGCACGAAAAGATTAGGCCAATCATTCCTTGCAGGAATGTGTGAGCCTTTCATTTTAATTTCATGTTTTACTTGAATTTTCTTTTTTAAAAACCATGAATTTCCCTATGCGCACCTCCAGTTTGAACACAAACATACAGGACCACCTGGCATATACCCGACCTTGCATTAATTTCCACTGAAGTGGCATTCAGTGGATTCCCACCATCTCACTGTTTCTTCGACCCTAAACTCATTCTTCACAATGGAAAGGAACTTACTGGTGTGCTTGATTCAGCGGGGTGAAAGACAGAAAGTCAAAAGACATGCACCTCCCTTAAGACCCATCCCTTCATCATCTTCTCCCTGAACTTCCACTGGGATGCTCTTTTCTCTGTCCTCTTCCCAGACTGTCTTCCTGTGAGATTGATGCCGAAGGGGCAGCTCATTTGGCCAGGGCTGTTTTCCAGTGTCAGCAAATAGAGGAACTCAGGTAAGTGAAGCCAGGAGGCCGTGAAGGAAGGTGAGGGCAGGAAAGGACCTGTGTGAAGCAAGGACACTTCTAGAAGGAGGGCCTGGTCCAAGGGCATTGTGCTACCTTTCCGCCCTTCCCTCCATGATGGATGTTTCTTGTGGTATGAAAAAAGACAGACGCAGCAGTGCGAAGGCCTCGGGAAGTTAAAAATAAAGCCAAAGTCATCCAGACGGCCATCACGAACCTGGCAAATCTTGTGAATTGGGAAGGGAAAATCACTTAATAAAAGCCTTCTCTGGTAGTATCTCATGCCTCTCGTTCATCCAGTGCAAACAATTGAGCCTACTCTTTCCCAAATACGATATTTTTTAGGCAAATCATTTTTTAAATTGACCTCTTCAGCCCGATCTTTTCTTTTGCAGTTTGTCAGAAAATTCTGTCGGGGACAAAGGCGTGACTGTGTTTGTAGAGCAGCTGCCGCAGTTCTTGCAGCTCAGGAGAATTGAGTAAGTCCTCAGCCAGGCTGAAACAGCAAAACTCCTCCGAGGAGGCTGCGTTACCTGGAGTGCAATGTCGAATGCATGGATGTGATTATGATCTCCAGAGCATGGACAGTAAAATATCACACAGATTCCCTCACTAAATTTTTGATCAACCTGCCACTTCGACCCACTCAAACGTTTCATATGGACGACTTGCTTGTTTTTGTATTGTTGTTGTTTCTGTGAGGCATTTTTACACGTTCTCTTTTGAGGGCCTTCCTACAAAAAGCAAGCACCAGCTAAATACATTGCTTTCTAGGAATCTGCTTTGATGACCAGATATTTGCCCCTTTGGACCAGTGTGGTTTACTTGGACTGGCACCATCACCTAAGACCCGGAGGAGTCGGTGATGGCAAAGCACATCCGGTCATTGATTGTACCTTTTCACACTGCCCTGTTTAGGACTGCGAGCAATGTTATTTGTGCTTTGTTGTTGTTTAGTCGCATAGTCATGCCTGACCCATCATGACCCCATGGACAACATTCCTCCAGGCCTTCCTGTCCTCCACCTTCCCCGGAGTCCACTTACGCTCACACCCACTGCCCCAGGGACTCCATCCAGCCACCTCATCCTCTGCCATCCCCTCCTTCTTTTGCCATCTATTGTTCCCAGCCTTAGGCTCTTCTCCAGGGAGTCCTTCCTTCTCACTAGGTGGCCAAAGTATTTGAGTTTCATCTTCAGGATCTGCCTTCTAAAGAACAGTCAGGGTTGATCTCCTCTAGGACTGACTGGTTTGATCGCCTTGCAGTCCAAGGGACTCACAGAGTCTCCTCCAGCACCACAACTCAAAGGCCTCGATCCTTTGGCGCTCAGCCTTCCTTATGGTCCAGCTTTCACAGCCATACATTGCAACTGGGAAAACCACAGCCTTGACTACGTGAGCTTTTGTCGGCAGGATGATGACTGTGTGCTTACCTCTTGTGGAGGAGGAGCTGCACCGAAACCCCTCCCCTTTCCTAAGCTGGCTTTCTTGGGGTGACTGGAGCAAAGCCCCATCTGTGAAGTCAGCTGAGCTTTTCCAATGTGTCCCTCTTAGGCTCAAGGTCTGTGGGATCACTGACCGGGCTTCCAAGACTCTCGCCACCTGGCTCAGCCACTGCCCCCTCCTTGAAGAGGTCATGTGAGTACAGTGGGCAGGTGTGGGTTACCTGCGTCTCTGCCCCCTGGCTTTTTTGCTTTGCTCCACATAAGGCCCTCAGAGCCATTGCGGCGGCGTGGTTAAGAGCACGGGACTGGGACTCAGGCAATCTGGGTTCTAGTCCCCACTCGGTAGTGGATCCCCTGGGGTGATTTTGGGCCAGTCACAGACTCAACCCAGCCTGCCCCACAGGGTTGTTGTTGTGAGGATAAGATGGAGAGCAGCGGGAGGAGAATGGTGTAAGTCCATTGAGTCCATAAGAAAAAGAGCAGGATATAAATCGAATCGAGTAATGTGGGCACTGCTTTGGCGTGCTGCTTCCCATGCCGCTGGGGAACATCTGGGTCAGGCTGGACAGCCCTGTGGCCTGCATGCTGCTGTTTTGGGGGTGTCCAGGGGTTGATCGCTCTTCTTATTTTTAGCCTGTCCTGGAACCAGCTCAGTGATGACAGTGCTTTGGAGTTGGCCAGGCTTCTGCCGCGGTTGCCAAAGCTGAGAATCCTGGAGTGAGTATAAGCGGCCGCTAAGCCGGCCTCCTGTAGCACAGCAAGTGCCGTTCAGAGCAATCATCATGATATTAATAACAAGAACAACTCTGCAAAATCTGAGATGGTTGCAGGCTGCAAGTGGTGACGGCTTGGAGGGGGGAGACTTCAGAATGGAGCACCTTATGGGAAGGTTCTCCTTGGCACAGGCGAGGCTGAACACCCGCTTCTTGCCCTGCATTCTGCAGTGTTCGTAGCTCTCCGGTTTGCAACTGGTTTTTGATTTGTTAGGAAGAGGAGAGCCAATGGTCAGCTTGTCATGTTACTTGGCCCCTGTCAATTATAGCCCTCCTATTATTTTGCTTTTTTACAAAACCAAGTCTGGACAGGAACTGCATCACAGCTCATGGGGCCGGAGGCCTAGCGAAGGAGCTTGCTAGCTGCCGAGGAATCCAGTTTATACGGTGAGTCCTTTGTAAAAGAGCTCAGCTTCCCACCAGGGGCTGGATGCTCTTTGTTGAGAGGAAAGCTGCTGTTCCACGAATCGGCTGCATTCATGACCTGCCTCCAGGGACCTTCACAAATTTGGTGCAAATATGCATTGTGGGGGCATGTCTCCCTTTTTCTTTTTTTTACTGTATATTTGTGAGGTGCGGCTTCCTTGCACCTTAGGTCGGGCTTCTGGGCCCTTAGTTGGCGGCACTATCCTTCCCCTTTAACTTCTTTTGCCCTCCTATCCTTTTTATTTTTACAAACAAATAATTGAATGAGTTGTAAATATTTTGGAAAACCAGTGCAAAAGCCTTTGTTTTCTTCTTCCATAAGGTGCAGATGAGAGTAGTTTGAGGCAGTACTGCCCAACATTCGTAGCAGGGACATATGCCGAGTTCTTCACTGAGGAAAAATAAACAAAATGCACAGTTAGGAAATGGGTCAGCCTGGCTTGGCGATAGGATGTGGGAAGAGGACCTTGGTGATGCGGCTGATGGAACTCTCAGCCTGTGATGTGGCTCCAGAGAGGCAGGCACGCCGTTGGGTGGCATCGACGGGAGCACCATTTCAAAATCACGGGAAAGGGAAGTTCCGCTTTCTTCTGGACCCCACGCTTTAGGAAGGGCTGAGATAAATCCAAACAAGTTCAAAGAAGGATAGCCAAGACGAGGAGGGAACCAGAAACAAGGAATGATTGAAGGAACGGGGTATATTTAGTCTGGAGAAGACTGAGTAGTACCTAAAGGGTATCAGATAGAAGAGGCGGGCTAACTCTCCCTGCCATCCAGACCTGCAGGATGCAAAATAAGAGAGTCAAGTTACAGGAAGGCAGATTTGGTGGAAAATCAGGAAAACTTGAATGGTCAGAGTTGTCAGAAAAAGGAGCCAGGATGAGGAAGAACTGGGCCCATGATACTGGAAGGGTTCAGGTAGAGACTGGGCAGCCATCTGTCCCGGATGTGCTGAACTGGGTTCCTGGACCAAGCAGGGGTTGGTCTTACTGGTCTAACAGGCTCCTTCCGACTCTGTAATAAGACTACCCCTATTCTGTATTATCTGTCATTTTCTGTGACTGGGTTGCTTGCATTGTTTCCACCTGGTTTTTTAATCGGTGGCAAAGCTGTACCCACAGTTTGAAGTTGCTTTAGTGAGAATGACTAATGAGGGTCCAGGTGTTAATGAAAATGATCAGAGGGAAAACTGCTTTTTAACTTCGCAGGGAAGGAAATTGGGAGATGGGTTCCGCCCTGCATCGTGGTGTCTCAAAAGACGGAGACAGCTCCACTCAGGCAGAAAGCAGTTCTTATTCAAATTTGTGATTTGCTTTAAAAACGGGGACATGTTTAAAAATGTTAGGCAGAGTGTTAGGCATTTGGCAGCCTGACCTTTGGTGTCATGCAACAAAAGCCAAGCGCTGGTTTTCTAACGCAATTATTGTATTTGTGCTGCCCAGAAAAAAGATGAGCTCCTGGGGACTGTGTGATTCCCCCAGTGCTCTCGGCTTACCATCAGGCCTATCACTGGCTATGCTGGCTAAACCTGATGGGAGTTGTAGTCCAACGGCCTCTGGAGGGCCACTCATGCCCCACCTCAGCTTATGGGATCGGGAGCCACTTGTGCCAAAATAATTGGACTTTGGGCCATATGCACCCTGATTTGGGCACCCCCCCCCCCGTAACCTCTGAGCCAGGTGAGCCAGTGGTCTGGCTTGCTAAAAGGTCAGCCTGCCTTCATCATGTGAAGGGTTAAACTCTGCTGTCCCAAAGTCGGCACTGGCAGGAGAGCTTTCCAAAGGAACGTTCTCTGGATCGCATGCTGCCCAGGCGACAAGGTGCTGACTCAACCACAGGTGTTCTTGGAGAACGCTGATGACGGTAGAGGCGGAAAACATGGAGAGACCTCCCGCCCAAGGCATGTTGGAGGACCTCAACATGGGCAAGTATTAGGACTGGCTGAAAGTGCATCCTTTTCACTTGGCTTTTCCATAGCCATGAGCTATCTTGGAAACAACCCTTTTTAACTGAAAAAAGAAAAGATATTGTAGTGTTGCAAAACAAGCAGAGAGCGGTGGGAGCAAAGGGCGGGAGCAAAAGACCACAAGGCCTGAAGCTGTGTAGTTTAGCGGGGAAAGGCGAGTTTTGATCACAGGGTAGAAAACGTCCCTGGAATGGAGAAACGGAGGGGAGACCAAGTTAAAGGGTGGAATCCGGCATCAGTGTGGGTGGCTTTCAGAAGCAGTTGACCATCATGTAAGAGCCAGCTGTGAATGGCCACACGCTCGATGGCTGTCTACGACAGGACTAAGGCAAAGCCTCAGAGCGCACCAGTGGCTGGGGAACATGGGTGGCTGCGCGCTCCTGTGCTCACATCTTGTTTTGGCATTCTGTGGGCAGATGCTCAGCTGCTGTGTAAACTGAATGCTGCGCTCGGGCTGATTCTGCCAGGCTTTTCTTCAGTTCTTAATATAATCACTGTTCTCGTCGGCCATTCAGTCGCGTCCAACCCTTGGCCGCCCCTTGGATCATCGCTCTCCAAGCCCCTCTGTCTCGCCCTGCGTCCTTCAAGACCGCCATGTCCACCCCAGTGCCTTTCTTCGCGGTGTCCAGCCAACGGGTGCTGGGGCGGACCCTTCTCCTTTTTCCATGGGTCACTCCCAGCACGGCTGACCTTTCCAGCCAGCCAGCTCTCCTGACATGGCCACAGTACGATGGTCTTTGTTCAGTCATCGGCTTTGAGTGATATATATTAAGGGAAGGGTTAATATATATAATAGTTTAATATATGGAGGGTCTGCATTAGTTGTTCACTGCTTTGGGGTTGGTTCAATGAGAAGCAATATGTAAGTATGGATGAGGGTGACTTCGAGGATGACATGATGCTTCCCTTTTGCAAAACTGCCAAGTTTGCAGCTTTCCAAGCTCAGAGGAGGATCTGCATGACACTCTCTGTCTTTCCAGGTTATGGTGCAACCGAATCCCTAAAGATGTTGAGCAGCGACTGGGTGGGCAGGAACCACGGTTGCATTTCTCATAAACAAAAGATGAAGAGGAGCGACAGGAGGGCCACTGGCCACGGATGCACTGCAAAGCGGCCACGAAACAGAAAACTTGCCATTTCTGGCTAAAGGCACAGTAATGGTGTCTTTTAGAAAGGAAGATGAAGTTTGTTCTTGTGCTCTCCTAGCCCAGATGGAAAGCAGACGCTGCTTGGGAAACATCAAAGAGTCACGTGATAGGAGGCAACAGAACTGTGGCATCGCTTGTTAAGAAAACTTGAACCTCACACCCATTTTCCTAACACCCATGACCACAAAAAAACCTGGTCATGTCTACTCTGCACTGAAAATGCCCCGTCCTTTGTGGCAGTAAGTTTTAAAAAAGCATACCCCAAAAGGCTCAGTCTGGAGGGGGAACACTGTTTTGTGCAAGATGCTTGAATGTATTTATTTTATTTATGGTATGTGCTGCTTTGGTTGGTTGTGGGGAGACAGAAATAGCTGTGTGGGCCTGCCCTGGAGCCTCATGACAAGTGAACATATTTAAATATTTAAACAATCCGTTTGCTTTTAAGTTTTCTTCAGGATGGACCAACACATTTTGGAACCCATCTTCACTATCGTAAGGACTAGAAACTTGCAGTGTCATTTGTTTTAAATGGAAGCAGAGATGCTCAGGGAGCTGGATTCCGTGGATCCTATTCTGTGCTTCCCTTTCACCTTTGCCAAATGTGTACAATTCTATTTCCAACCGTTGTTTGTTGCATATGCTGCTTTACTAGTTCTCCCATGTTATGCATTGTTCTATACCACCAGCTGTGGGGCAGTACAGAAATGAAAACTCTGTGTTTGCAAAACTGTGTTCACTACAACTAGTAAAACCGTTTGACTGGTGAGGAGAGATTTTGCAACAGTCCCCACACCTTCAGAAATCACTTCTCAGGAAAGGGGCCACTGCTAATGTTTAAGAAAGCTCAGAAGCTTTTTTTTTTTCATTCCAGGCTGTGGTTTTTGAAGCTGTGCTTTGGAGAAAAGCTTACCTGTTTCTGGTTTAATGGTTCAAAATTCGATTTGTATTTTGGGTTTGCGTTCATTGTGCATGTGTGTATACTTTATTTTATTGTCCACTGCTTCATTAGGCCACTGCATCCTGGATAGCAGATTAGCAAGGGGGGGGTGGATGGGGGGTGGACAGATGGACAGTGCAGAATTGTAGTTTCACTGGAATCTCAGGACAAGATGACTTGTGACCATTGTATGAATGCAATTAAGACGGACCTTTTAAGCATGCCTTCCCCTGAATGGCAGCTTCTGCCTAATTTGCCCTACGGAGCCGGGAGGGCAGGGCAGGGCAGGGCAGGCCGCAACGAGGTGGGCATCCTCAGTGGCCCTCGCGCCCAGCCCTGCGGAGCTGGGGAGCAGGCAAGGGCAGGGGACCCCTCTGATCCAATGGGAAGGCGAGAGCTTGAAAGCGGACCCCTCCTCATCTCTGCAGGTGCAGCTGGGGCTAAGAGGACTGGCGGGGGAAGGAGAGCCGTGGCAAGTCCCGGACGGGTCCCTTTTCCGGCAGGAGGGCCAGGCATGGCTAGCGGGGAAGCCCAAGTGGGCAAGGAAGGCCAGCCGGGGCGACGCCAGGGGCTGATCCAAGGGGGCAACCTTGCCCCAGCCAACCGCGGCGAAGTGCACACGGGGCCGGACCGGGTGGCAGCGTGGCCAGGGGAGGTGGGAAGGCTTCCTGCCTTCGCGCTTCCTCCCGCTGCTGTCCTGCTCCCCCTGCAGGCGGCTGCAGGCACGGAGTGGGGAAACTGTCGATACCGCGGTGGACCAGCCTCCCAGTGCGGGAGGAGCGGTTTTGTCGAGCACGGCAAGAGCTTGTTCCCCAGGGGGGTTACCTGTACTTTGACAAGTGCCCACCAGGCTGCACTCACGCATAGACCCCTTCTCTGCTGGGCTCCAAGATTCCCTTGTAAAAGAACAACTACTTTCTAATGCTGAGAGATGCAGCGCTGCAAGGCAACTCTGGCAGAGCTGTGTCCCAGCCGGTGACTTGGATGTGGGATCAACGCTCCAGGCTGCTGATCCGTGTGGAAAGAAGAAGAAAATACCCCAAATCCAGGACACCGGCTTTGTGGATGGGGGCACATGTGCATTTGTTGGTTGGTTTTAGCTTGGGTTGGGTTTTTCTCCTCCTGGAATTTCTCCTTTATCACGGAAGAGATGCCACAGTCCCGCTGGAGCAATGGGAAGAGTCTTCTTAGGATCCTTCTGCAGGGCACAGACAGAGCTCCGTGACGTGTGCCAGGGCCTGCAGCCAAGACGTGGGCAGCCAGAGGCAAGGCAAGAGCAACAGCGGCACCAGGACCAGGGCAAGAGGACCAAGACAGCCCAGGCTTAAAGTCCAGATCATAGTCATGGTACAGGCTGAGGCCAGGAAGCGGAAGGGTGCATGAGGGCAGGAGGAGGACGGGGCCAGGAACAAGCCCAGGGCTGAGAGCCAGGAGGACAGGCAGAGGCACAGGTCCCTTGGACAGGGTAACAGGGCGGGAGACACGAGACGACAAGAAGCAGTTGCAGGAGGGCCTGGCAGAGGCAGGAGCTGGAGCCCGGCTGGCAGGGAGCCCTCCGTTACTGGGGCGACGCAGCGAGGCAGGGTCGAGGGCGGGCAAGGGGCAGGCACAAGAGCGAGGCAGCGGGGAAAGGCGGGGCCCAGGAGCAGGAGCCGTTAGGCAGGATGCAGGCAGGGCAGCACACAGGCAAGGCTGAGGCAACACAGCAGGGCAGGAGACACGGCAAGATGCAGGAGCAGTCGGCAAGGAGCAGGAGGACCTGTGCTGCTGAGGCAACACAGCAGGGCAGGAGACACGGCAAGATGCAGGAGTGGTCAGGACCTGCATTGCCGAGACCAGTTCTTGAGGGAAGAGCTGGCCTTCTACAGCTCTTCTGCTAGGACTCCCAGCTGGTGCTTCTCAAGAGCTCCAGCAGGGCCTGGGACTGATCCTGCACGTGTGCTGGTGGTTGCTCTCGTTTTGGCCACCAGAGCAGCCCAGATTCTGACAATGGGCAATTTTTGACTTGACAGTGTGCCCTGGTTTTGAACTGTAAACTGCAGAACTATACACTGGTTAGGGAGGTCAGCTTCTAGAGACTGAAAATTTTGGCCGGGTTGCCCATTCCGGAACTGTGTGTCAGGGTACCCAACTCTGTCCCTTGGCCTACTAATCTCTCTTAATTTAAAACTGTATCAACTGCAAATGATGCACTGGCAAAGGAAATCTACTGAAGTTGTTACTGCACCTTCTCATCCCATAGATGCAGTAAAATTAATAAAGCCCAATTCAAATTAACTTTAAAAAACCATGATACGCACCCCTAGGCTTCAATTAATATGCATGCCACATTTCAAGTTTCCTGGCCTATGAGGCTATGGTACTGATAGGTGGCTGGATATTTCCTGTTTTATTATAGATGCATTAACTGCCTATTCCACCTTTCTGTCAAAAATGGCACTCCAGGTGACACATGATAATAAAGCACAGCGTCCAAACAAATCCTTAATTAAAATTAAACATAAAATTCAACCATCTGGAGCAGCCTTCCGTTATTTATTTCTAAAATGAATCTTGCCCCGTCTCCACTTGTTCAGCAACTGTGGAAGGTGGCTGATACCTGTCTTCAGGTGTCACAGAGGGGCAAGGATCTCCTCAGGCATATTCTAAGAGTAATACCTTATGCTGAGGAAAAGACTCTTTCTGGATGTTTTATCAGAGATCCCCAGCAGAGGGCAGTGTTTTCCTGCAATGATTTCAAGATGCTCCCATTTCTCCTGGAAGCAACAGGAAGTGGTGGGGACAAGGTGGAGAAGCCTAGTTCTAATGCCCAAGGAAGCAAAGATCAAGAGATTGCCAATAAAGTTGTCTGAGGTTTTCCTCTGAGCTGCTTTATTTATTTATTTATTTAGTTGGAGTTGTTGTATGCCGTTCCATTTGCATAAGCCTCGGGATGGCTTCCAACACAATAAATAAGCATAAAAATAATGCATATTAAAATCCGGATTCACCCTGGCTGTAGAAATTAAAACCACGAAATAATATTAACAATTGTTAAAATATTGTTTAAATAAAAAGGTCTTGGCCTGACACTGAAAAACAAATGACGATGGCACCAGGTGGACCTCTCTGGGGAGCGCCTTCCACAAGTGCTTTGTTCTATGATAGCGAGAAACTAGATGAGACAGGGCAGTCAAACTCAAAGTCATTCAGGGGCCTCCCAAGACCCCTGTGGCGTGCCAGTATTCAACCACGCCTTAATCATGCAAGGCTAAGCTAATACTTCCCAGGCACTTTGTAGGAGACCTTCTCCATTCACAGCCCAGCCCGGCTACAGCCAAGTTTCTCATTGCCTCAGCAAAGCAAAATGAGCAGTAATCCCTTGCTGGGCTTGGTACCACATTTGCACTTTTCCAGACTGGGAATGTTAGGAGACCACCAGGATGCAGGTAGCTTCCCTGGAAATTCCCTCCCTTCTCCAACTGGCAGGCTCCAGAGGTGTTGCGTAGCACAACTTACATCATTTGCAGCTCCCAGCTGGCTGCAGTTCCTATCATAACTGGACAACACATCTGGGAGTGATGTAAGTTGCATTAGCCATCACATCTGGAGAACACCAATTGGGGGGAACCTGGTCCAAACGACCCACCACTTTAGCACTGCCCTCACAGGACCAAGGAACCTTTGGCAGGCCCAACTTGTGTTCTGCCTTTGACTCTACCTAGTGTAACTTCTCTGTAACTTCACTTCTCTTCTTCATCATTGTTGTCCTCTTCCTTGTCTTTTTTCTGCCTGTTTTACAAGCTGTATATACCGGTCTATAATCCAGTATGGAGATTCCCCAGTGGTGAACAATGCAAGATAAAACAGAAGAATAATGAATAGGTTACAAATCAAAACCAGTAAGATTATTTTCCTGGGCTCCAAGATCATCGCAGATGGGGACTGCAGCCAAGAAATTAAAAGACGCTCCTTGGGAGGAAAGCTATGGCAAATCTAGATGGCATACGAAAAAGCAGAGACATCACCCTGCCGACAAAAGTGCGTATAGTCAAGGCTATGGTTTTCCCAGTTGCAATGTATGGCTGTGAAAGCTGGACCATAAGGAAGGCTGAGCGCCAAAGGATTGAGGCCTTTGAATTGTGGTGCTGGAGGAAACTCCTGAGAGTCCCTTGGACCGCAAGGCGATCAAACCAGTCAGTCCTAGAGGAGATCAGCCCTGACTGCTCTTTGGAAGGCCAGATCCTGAAGATGAAACTCAAATACTTTGGCCACCTAATGAGAAGGAAGGACTCCCTGGAGAAGAGCCTGATGCTGGGAACGATTGACGGCAAAAGGAGAAGGGGACGGCAGAGGATGAGGTGGCTGGATGGAGTCACTGGGGTGGCGGGTGTGGGCTTGGGTGGACCAGGGGATGGTAGAGGACAAGAAGGCCTGGAGGAATGTTGTCCATGGGGTCGTGATTGGTCGGACACGACTTCGCGACTAACAACAACAAGATTATGGCTGGTTAGTTCAGAAAGGCTTCTCAAATTGAATGTCTTCAAGAAGTTCAGAAAACAATGCGATATTGATCTCTTTGACCTCCAGAGATGGGAAGTTCCACAGAAGGAAACCCATCAAATTGAAGGCTGTTTTTCCGTTGGATTTCAGTTGGTCCATAAGTCCATACGAACCCACCATGAGCCTACCAGAAGATGACTCAGAAGCAGGGAGTGCCTCAGAAAAGGTGGAGCAACACCGAAGACTCTTCTTCCAGTGGACTTCAGTTGGGCCAGAGGTGCAGAGGGTGTCCACCTCTGTTCAGCGCAAGCAAGAAGCTTACCACCCGAGTCAGGAACCACTCAACCACAGAGTTCATCTTCCCAAGATTCAGCTTTGGCCGACTGGTTCTCGACCAGCCCATCACTGAGACCAGATGCTGAACCAGGATGCCTACAGTCTTCTCCCAATGCATTCTCCCTCCCAGCTTTTCCTCTTGCTTCTAGGCTCCCTGACTTCTTCTCTCAACCTGGGCTGGGCAACATCTCTTGGGCTGAGGCTGGTGAGAGCAACCGCATTCCAGGAGCGAGTTGGGCTTGTAGCATAGGGTTGGGGCCATCACTGGTGAATTCCAGAGCTGAATCATGCATTGTGTGAAAAAACACTACTCCAACAAGCTCCAACAGGACATAGTTTAAATGCTACATGCAAACAGAGCCTCTGGGTGGTGGTTTGGAGGACCCCGGGCCTTGGTCCCAGTTCACAGTCCTACTGCTGGCCGGTGTACTTCGGATTAAAGTCCTGGAATTTCTTCACGATGGTCGGATCACGGGTCTCCCATTCTTAACCAGTGGAGCATCCAGTCCCCATCGGACAGAAGGAATGGCTTGTGCATGACAAGCTGAAAGAATCCCTGAATGTTTGAGAAAACAAGCAGAACATTTATTTTAAAAAAAGATAAGCTCATACTTCAGATGTCAAACTCCCTGTTGCAGCAGTAATATTTTAATAAGGACTGAGGAATGTGAATTTTCAGGTCCATTGCATGTGGATTGTATGTGGAACTGTAAGCAATTGTGTATGTTTGAATAACCAAACAAAACCGGCTGTGGGGAGCCTTGGAAGCCTTTCAGCCAACCCGATGGCAGCAGAAAGTCACGTGACCAATCATGTAAATAGACAGGGACAAGGAGAAATCTCTGAAGGAGAGCACAGTTTTGTGTAAAGTCCACTCCATGCTGTTTGGCTCACTAGGTTCAAAGGAAGAAAGAAGTGAGGACTTCTTGGATAAGATCAAAGGTCCATCTAATCTAGCATTATTTTTCTCACTTTGACTAATACCAAGTGCTTCCAGGAAGCCAGAAACAAAGGTGTGTGGCCCGTCACCAAGGCTGCCATTTGCAACAGCAACTGGCATCCAGTCAGTGGAAGTATTTGCTAATTGAAGACCCTGGAAGGTCTCCTTTTAGGGGGCAGAAAAGCTGGTGGTGATGTGAGCACCAGTGGCTGCCTTGGTGGAGATGCTTGCCCCATCCCCAGTGTGGTGGTAAGGACTGAGGACTAGTCCTCTGCATGTGGGCTGGGGGGGCCCTGACAGAGGAGCGGGAAGTTTGGTTGGGCAACCCTTCCTGAAGCAAGAATCACTTGCAACACTTGTTGATTTCCCAAGAAGCTGTGCAGAACACCCTGCGAATTCTGTCCCACACAGGTGGGCAAGTCACCTGGAGTTTTCATCAGAGCCATGAAAACATCTGGCTGGAGTAAACCTGGGTAAGGGAAGGGCACCTCCTCACAGGGACTGCTCAAATCAAACCACACTTTGATTCTCTCCAGCATTGTACTGATGCTTGCCATTTGGGGGGGCATTCACACAACCTATGATCCACCTGCATGCAAATAGGTGAATTCCTAGCCCCAGCTGCCAGGTTTCGGCTGTTATTTCTACTCAGAGTAGTTCAAGAAGGGTGAGACTGTTCGAATGAACAGCAGAGCTATAACAGACTGCATCGCCGTTCACACATTCCTTTAAACTAGTGTGCAGGATGAGTGTCGCAGCCTCAGTGGCCCCAGCCCGGCCCTGGGTGCACGCTTGGTGGGAAGCCTGAAAATCTTTCAGCCTTGCACAAGTGTGTGCAAAAGCCGTGCATGCACAGAGTTCTTGCATAGTCAAAAAGTCACAGTGGTGTGTCAGTGCCTATGCATACACCATTTGTGTGTGTCAGTGCTTTGCGGTTTGCTGTCACAGATTCAGCTGCACACAGATGTTGCCCTGCTCTCCTTGCAGGTTTAGAGAAATGTGTCACTGATTCTTGACACTTCCCATGTGACTATCATGGATCCTATTGATATGCTAAGCTCTCACCTGACACAGGCTGGAATCTCCAGCAATGTGCCCGCAGATGGCTCTATGGGCACCCAGCCGGCTCCCTGGCTCTCCTGATGTTTATGCAAGAGTTTAGACATTAGTTTTACCTGGCATGCTTGGTTGGTTTCATATTTTGGCGCTAAAACCCTGACCTGTACCTTGTACCGAGCTTCTTGGGCAAGTCTTTTTCTTTTAGTTCCCCACCTTGCCTTCTAGAAAATGAGCGCTTTCCAATAATGCCATGGCGGCTATTTACACATGGGCAAGACCCAGGCAGCTGTGGAAACGACCGGGACCTGCACCCAAGATTCAAAGGTATCGTAAACTCTCATGATGTGCATGGTACACGTGTTTTGCACCCAGAATTTTAAATGTAAGCTGTAAATGTGCATTGCATTTCCGATGTTTGCGGAGAGCCAGTGTAGTGTTGGGAACCTGGGAGATAGATCCGGCTCTTGGCCTCTAGCCATGAAGCTCACTGGGCTAGCCACTCTCTCAGCCTCGTCTGCCTCTCAGGGCTGGGGTGAGGGTACAACCACGCTGCGCGGGCTGCCTTGGGCTCCTCCAAGTTTCGAATGGGTGGGGAATCATTTCCTGGTTTCTTCACCTTCTCAGAGATTAATATGCAGCTCCAGCCTCCAGTTCTGTTAGTTTGAATTTATTTGCAAGGCCAGTTTCGCCCAGCAGGAGACAAAAGGGTGACGGCAAAGCGCAAAGGCCAACCTCTTCACGTGCTAAACTTAATGTTCTGGGTCTGAATGCTGAGAAACCATTTCCTGCTCTTCTCTTCGAGTCCAGGCACCCTGTCTGTGTCTTTCTGCTGCTGTTCTGTTTGCCCAAGCAACATGCAGTGCAAGCTGTGTTTACTCAGCGGTAGGGATTAATATGCAGAAGTAATTCCCCCGGGTATTGTACAGCCTAGTCCAGGGGCCGGCAGCCTTTCACACTCCAAGAGCCATTTGGACCCGTTTCCCACAGAAAAGAAAACCCCGGGAGCCGCAAACCCCTTTTGACGTCTAAAATGAAGATCACACTGCATATATCGTTTTTTACCTTAATGCTATGTATCTCTGCATTATGATTTAGCTGCAGCTCTTGTCCAGTCACTAAACACCGTTATTTTTAATCTTACATTATAAACTAGTAGGACTCCTTTCATATATTTTGAATAGGAGAACAGCTTCCTGAAGGGTCAAGTCAGTGCTAAAGGGCTGCATGCATTAAACAGCAAACCCCATAAGTTCATCAGCAGTAAAAGCAAATGAATCTACCCAGGTATCATTAAACGTTTGGTTTTCTTCGATTTATCCATGGTTGGCCTTCGGGGTTGGGGGAGGGGGGGCAGAAAGCTCAGTAAATCTCAGATCTCAGATATAGGTGTATTTAGTGATGGATTAGCAGATAAACAGTCAAGTGCTGTGAATTGTGACAGGTCCCAAGTGCAGCTTTTATCATTCAGAGGAAGGAGATGACATTGGGACAAAGAGAATCTTTTCAGCAGCGTTTGTGTAACATGAGAGCCTGCAGGAAGCTTGTCCCACTCTTTCCCTGCACACTAGCACAGGAATGTCGCAATTTCCCTAACCAGCTAGCGGGGCGTTCCTGAGTGGATGCCTCATCATCACCTACTGGTATTTTGTAACTCGGAGCCTCGGTCGCAGATCGGCGGCTGTGCCGGCGCGTGTTTTGAGCGACAGAGCTGCAGCAGAGGGATTCAAGAGCCACGTGTGGCTCCGGAGCCGCGGGTTGCCGACCCCTGGCCTAGTTCATGTGCAGGACACATTTTCTGTGTGCTACAAAGACAGGTGTGCCCCAATCTAGTGACCCTGCAGCTCTCACAAACGGGAGTGCACTTATTGTTGGAGACTCTGTTTACCTCTCCCCTCCCCTCGTGCTCCATGGTAGCAAACACACTTTCACTCTTCCTTGCACAGATTGTTGTGGGTCTCGGGGCAGCAAGACACCTGCTTTTGGGGGGCTGGTCATTTTCACTGCAGCCCCTCAGAGCTTTGCTGCAAAGAATCACACCTGCTGTGTTAAACCTCCATTCCTGCACATGCCGTTTGCAGGGTCGGGAAAGAGAAGTTGGAAAGGCAGCACATCCTCTGGTTTTCCTGCACCTGTGCTGTGGCTTGGGGCATGGGCTGGCGTGAGAAATGCGCACGCTGAAGTGCAGGGGGCTGTTCACGTTCTGCCTGCCTCTCCCCCAAGTGCAACGCAACGCACGCGGCCTGTAGCACTTGAGACGAACTCTGTACAAAGAATTGTGTACTCCAGGTGCAGTAACTGCCTTTTGCTAAAGCACTGAACAGGTGGTGCCTCGCGAATGAAAGGGGATCCAGTCCCGCCTTATCTCTCCAGAGCTTCGGTGCAGACTGAATCTGTGCCTCTTTTAAGACGTGAGGCAAGTCAGGGGTAACCCACGCAAGGTCGCTCTGCCTCGGCGCACCGTGTCAGGAGAGTCTCCAGGGGGCGGGGAGGCGTGTTGCTACAGAACACCTGCGGAGTTCCCAGGTGTTCTCTCTTGCAGAGCGCTATCCTCCGTCGAAGGCTTGCAGGTGTCCTTCCTCCGGAGAGGTGCGGGCTGGAAAGATAAGGCGCCATCGGAAGGAGACGCTTCCCCGCTCGCAGCTTCCCCGCCCGGGCGAGATGCCCGGCGTTGCTCTGCCGGTTCTGGTGCTCGTTCCGCGACGCGCATCTCTACGTGTAGCTCGCCACGGCCACACGTGCTGCCAGCGGCGGCCTCTCCCGAGCTGAGCCGCGCCCGCGTTTCCCGGGACTGACCCGCGGAGAGAGGCCGGGCGCGGCGCGCTCCGCCTCGGCTGCGGCCGCGCGTCCGCCAGGAGTTGGGAAGCCCCCAGCCGAGCGCAGACCGGGCCCCGGCTCGCCGACTTCCTGCTTGCGCTTCTCCGCCGCGGTTCCGCCCCGTGGGCTGCGGCCTCTCCGCGTCTCTTCGGGGCTGGAAGGAGGGACGAGCGGCAGGGAAGGCGCAGCGCCCGGCCACGCTGGAACCGATCCACAGGCAAGCGCGGGACGGGCGCGGCGCGACGGGACGGGACGGGGCGAGGCGAGGCGGGCTGGCCGGCCGGCCGCGTCCCCGGCTTTGCTCCCCAGCCGCGCCCCGGGGCGCCGGGAGGGCGGGGCGCGCAAGCCCCGCGCTGCCGCTCGTGGGCGCTGCGCGGGCGCGTCTGCGCGGCGCGGCGCGAGCCCTTCCCG